TGTGCTCGGAACTGGATTGGCAGCCAGTGGAGCTGACACAGCAGAGGGGTGGTATGTTCCCTGTATGACGCTCTGGTGATTAATCTAGCTGCCGCCCGTTGGACTAACTGAAGTTTCCGAACAGTTTTCAAAGGCAACCCCACATAGAGCGCGTTGCAGTAATCTATTTGGGATGTAACAAGAGCGTGGACCACTGTGGCCAGATCAGACTTTCCAAGGTATGGTGCACAAGTTTTAATTGTGCAAAAGCTCTCCTGGCCACCGGCGAGACCTGGGGTTCCAGGCTCAGCGATGAGTCCATATATATGTCTATTGCAGAAGTTCTCCAAAGGCTTGATCAAAGAGTCATGTTTTTACTCTCTTATGGAAGGTCAGGGGGGAGGAAACTGATCTAACATCCCTGGGGAGGGAATTCCATAGCTGAGGGGCCACCACTGAGATGGCCCCGTCTCTTCTCCCTGCCAGTTGCGCCTGCGAAGGAGGCGGCACCAAGAGCAGGGTGATCTTAAACTCAAAGATGATCTTAAACTCAAAGATGGTTCATAGGGGGAGATCCATTCAGACAGGTAAGTTGTGCCAGAACCTTTTAGGGCTTCATAGCCTTTTAGCTTCTAAAGCATAATTAAATGTGCTTTATAGATTGGTAATTTATTTATTTATTTACTTTACTTATATACCGCTGTTCTCAGCCCGAAGGCGACTCACAGCGGTTCACAACCAACAAAAACAGCAGAAATTCAATGTCAGATATAAAACAGTTAACAATCCCGCACAGCACACAATTAATAAACACTTATTACAATAATTAATCACTATCATCTCATCCACAAAAACATAATCCAGACTCGTCAACCATTTTCCATTCCTATGTTCATTACCAATTATTGCACTTGTTATTCGAACGCCTGATGGTAATGGTGGCCAGGTAAGTTTAACTTCTTTTAAGGGGTTATTTTGGGGCTGGGGGGGAGGGATTGGGTGTTATCCTGGAGCCCAAAAGGTTTGGGATGGCAAATGAGGACTCACCCTCAGGTAGTCCCAGAAATCCCCAGAAGTGAGCCTCCGCAAGTCCAATACCCAATTAGACCTGGGTCTTTCAGGAAGGCCTGGATCTGGTGGGATATTTAATTAATTCACAATAACTAATGTTATTTTGAATTGATTCTAAAAACCCAGACAGGTCCTACGTTTTGGGCCTGTTTGGATGGGTCCTAATAAATTGAATTATTCTACCAATATCTCAACATTTTAGGGGCAAAAAAGTCAGTCTACTGGAACTGGTTATGCTGCCTCCTGTCAAAATTAGCAACAGTTTAATTACATCTATTAATTATTTAGGTATTTATTCCACTACAGAGTAAAAATGTAGGGCCCTTCCACACAGTTCTATATCCCAGAATATCAAGGCAGGAAATCCCATGTTATCCGAGTATGGACTCAGATAATCCAGTTCAAAGCAGATATTGTGGGATTTTCTGCCTTGATGTTCTGGGATATAGGGCTGTGTTGATGGGCCCGTAGAGTGCAATATAAATATTTTTTTATTTATTTCATACATTTTTATCCCGCCCTTCTCCCCACAAGGGATGGCCTCACATAGGCATCAACAATACTTACAACATATATATCAAAGAATACAATAAAACAGTAAAACAGTAAAATCATCTTAAAACATCAAACACATCAGCCAATACATTCATTTACCAGATGATATTAAAATGCCAGTAAAACAAAAAATCAAACCGGGAAATCCAGTGTTGCAACCCAAAATCCTTTCCTATTGTCATTATCATCTAACCAAACGCCTGACTGCAGATTATGATTCAGTCAAGATCAATAGGTTTCAGTATATTTAATGGTGTGTCAAGTTGTATTATTTGGGTAAAATGGATGTTTTCTCCTTTTACACTATACAAAATGTGTCAGTGTATTATTATTATTAATAATATTTTCAGTCCTAATTAAGCAATCTATATGCTAAAATCACAAATATTTATTTTACTGTAAATCTACTTTTTCATGGGGCAATTGAAAAGTAAAATCCTAAAACATTATTGTTCAACTAAAATCTATAATGCTTTTTATACAGCTTTGAATATGCCATCCCCACCAATCCTACTGAAAATGATCAAAATGTTTGGGTTCTTAACTCTTATTTTTAGCTCTTCACTTCTAACAGATGTGAATATACATTAGCAAGCAGCAGTTCAGAATAAGCAGCATGACACATTTAAGTAAAATTCAGCTAAAATCACAATGAGTGCTTCCTACAGCAGTATTACTCAACCATTAAGAATTCTTCATTTTGCTATGCCATGTTTAGCTTTAGAAATGTATACACATAATGAACTGATGAAACAAACCTTGATGTATGAAGCTGGGAACAAGTAGTTGCAATAGTTCTCACTAGCTTCCAGTGTCACTTTGGAAGTGACACATTTCTAGTCTGTATTATATACAAACCAGGGAACTCTGCTTTAACATCAAGCAATAAACCAGGACTATATATATATATCAGTTTATTACTTTGGCCCTGCCACACAGCTGAATAAAATCCCACATTATCTGCTTTGAACTTGAATGTATGGCAGTGTGGACTCAGATAACCCAGTTCACAGCAAATATTGTGGGATTTTCTGCCTTGATATTCTGCGTTATATGATTGTGTGGAAGGGCCCTTTGTTATTTTATATTTAACCAGAGTACCTTACCTATCATATTAACAGGGAAGATAAACCAGAAATTAGGTTTCAAAGAAAAATATGACAGAATGAAGGTATGTAAATATTGGCCCTACAAGCTCATACTTGATCCATACCTCATATTGTGCCTGAAATAGATGATTATTTATTAACATAAATGAAGAAGTTTAAATATATTCAAAATCCATGAAAGGAATAGGTAACGTAACATTAAAGCATTAAAGTAACGTATAGTTACTTTAAAGAATAACAATAACTTTGTGACTGTACAGAATCCCTGTACAAAAACACTTAACTGAATCAGAAAATTGCATTGGATAGACCACATCAGCTCTAGTTACAGAACATCCAGTAGTCACCATCTGCTTGCCCAGAGAAAACTGTATTTAATAATCTAGAGCTAATGAAGTAGTAGTAATTCTTCATGGATAGTCACCCTCTCCCCTCCTGACTGCCTCAGCAATATAAGAGGGTTTTGTGAGGCCAGTCGCTCTTGCTGCATAGTTGCGAGGCAACAATATCGTAATGTGTGGATTAAAACAGGGTGCACTACAGAAACTGTTGGCTTTGCTAGTTTTTGACATTTTTGACAGTTCCCAGAGTCACAGTCAAGGAAATGAAGCAACTTCTCTGTGAGAACAAGACATAAGAGTAGTGATTTCTGGTGGTTTAACCTCTATCTTGCAGTTACTGGATGTATAAGTGAACAAGCCCTTTAAAGATCACTTGCACGGTTTCTATTAATGAGTGGGTGATGAGTGATGATCAACAATTGGCACCCCCTGGAAATATGAAGCACCTGTCGATGAAACTGATGTGCACATGGGTGATCACAGAGGCATTGTTGTGAAAAGTTTTTAAAAACAGGCATTTCTAATGCAATGGATGGATCAGAAGATAATGCACTGTGGGAGCAGGATGAAGAGGAAAAAACATCTTACATGAGCAATGCTGAGGATAATGCATTAGATAATGAAAGCAATGACGGTGCCGTGACTCTTATGACAAGGAAGATTAAAATGTTTAAATATATAAATTTGTTTTTCTGGACACTCTTGTATATTTCTCAAGTTTTCAACTTTGCTTTATTAGAAACTAGCTTGGATATCCAGTGGTGCTCGGATTATTTGAAAAAGGCATTGTTTGTTTTGGGGAATTAGGTCATATCATTTAGTTAATTAGTAACACTATTTATTAGGAAAAAGCCAGGATGTGATTTTGTTTTTTATGAATGCTCCCATTAAAAAATACATAACCATGTGGGTAAACTACAGTTCCTAGAATCGTGGGTCCCCAAACCAGGCATGTTGGGTCTGTGTGCCAAGTTCTGTCCAGATGACTGGATTCAGTGATCTGGATAAGGGTGAACTGCAACTTTCAGATTCCCAGGGCACTCATTCCCAAACCCAGCCAGTATCTACAGTTGGCCATGTTGAATGTGTGTGCCAAGTGTCTTCCAGATCTGTCATCAGCTGAGTTGAGTGCTCTCAGGATGCAGGTGAACTACACCTCCCAAAATCAAGGTAATTTTCCCCAAATCTGTGCAGTATGTTCAGTTGGTCATGGGCTTCTCTGTACCAAGTTTGGTCTCAGTCCATTGTCAGATCCTTCCAGTCTGTTCAGTTGCTAATCAATTCCTCTGTGTTTGCTGTGTGCCATAGGAAAGGGAAGAAAAGGCTGTCTGTGTAAGTGGACACCTCCGTCACATACACATTTTCCTCTTTTATTATGTGTTTAGATTTGTGTATAGATCTACTGTTTCAGAAGGCTTTTTCCCATGTACACCTGCATTTTTTTTTTGCAAAAAAGGGAGGGGAGTGTGATTATTATGTGATGAAATACATTATCTATCACAGCTTATAGCTCTTGACAGAAATGTGCTTCTCTTTCCCCAACACAGTTTTTTCTATTATTTGAATCTTCTATTGAAAGTGAAAATCAAAATGGTCTAATAGATATTGCTGGATTCTGATTTGTCATTGGCCATGCTGGTTATGACTGATGGGGCGTGGAGTCTAACAACCTTTGGAAAATTTAAGATTCTGCATCTTAACTGGGTTATTAAGCTTTCTGATAAATTTGGTTCCTTTATATAGGAACCAAATTACAGATATTCTGGTCATACTAAGACCATACACTAATGTCCATACATGTAAAATACTTGGAAAGAAATATGATTACTTTAAAGTTCAGAAAGAAACATGCATAGAATTGGACGGAATTTAACATTTGCACTTCACTCACGTCTGACGCTCTCATTTTGAGAGGAAAATAATTAAAAAGGTATATGTTACTAACCTGCAACAGCTGTATCCATTTCATCTTCCTCCACAGACTCTTGAGAGATGAAACCAACAAGAGGAGAGAGTGGATAACATGTGTTGAGATTTAAACCCAACATAAAATTGTGTACTTTGCCTGCACGGCCTTCCCGGGTGGTGAAAAGGGCACTATCACCCACCAGAGCCATAAACATGCGCTGGACCCAGCTTTCCTGGCTGGTCTTTTCGTGCGCTTTTTCAGCATCTGGGTTTTCTGAACCTTTAAAAGGATGAGAAGCAGAAGAACATGAACATATAAAAGAATATTGAAAATATTTATGAATGTTTTAATAAAAATACAGCTATGCGGGCATTGGGACTCTGGAAGCTGTTGCCCAAAAAGTTTTAACATTCTGTTTCTGATGTCAAGAAAACCAGATAGAACAAGACAGAAATAAACCTCTGACTTGCTCCATATCCTTACCTCATGAAAGCACAACAGTTAAAGTTCTGGCTGGCATTATGTTGATTCAGAGTATAGAGAAATATTATTTCATAGACATAGATGTCCACGTGCACCTCCCACAAGAAAATACAGACATCTGCATGACTTATCTCCGATTAATCCAAAAAAACAAGAAGAACCCACACGATCTCTCCGATCATCTGGAGAGGCCCTCTGATCATCTGGAGAGGTCGCAAGCACGATTGGTGGGGACGAGGGACAGGGCCTTCTCCGTGGTGGCCCCCCAACTCTGGACCTCTCTCCCCAAGGATATCAGACAAGCCCCAACATTGTCTGCAAGGAAGTCTTTAGGAAGAGCTTGAAGATGTGGTTTTTCCAGTGTGCCTTCCCAGAATAGGAAACTCCTAACATCATGTCCCAATTGCACCTTACTAGAGATTAAGATTGTCTGCACACTGCACTTATCTCCAAAAACCTATCCATCTCACCTGTCATGTTCAGCATTTTAAAATTTTAATCATTACATTTGGCCCGGCCTTAGTTTGTCATGGTGTTATTGTCTAATGTTTATTGCTATTGTTTTAAAGTTTATTGCTTGTTTTATGAGTTTATTTATTGTTGTATTTGTTATGCTGTTGTTTTATTGATGTGTTGGGCCTCGGCCTCTTGTAAGCCGCAACGAGTTCTTCAGGAGATGTTAGCGGGGTATAAATAAAGGTTTATTATTATTATTATTATTATTATAATATTATAAATCCTCATATTTCTAATAACTCCAAACCAGGAATTCAAATGTTTCATCACTTGCACTGATGGTTTTTAAGTTCTCAACACCTTGTCCATACTTTTCCATAAGACTGCTTCCACCATTCCTCAGTGACTTAAACAATATATATGTGTTACTGGCAGGGTAACAGGGTAGAGCCCCTGTGGTGCAGTGGGTTAAACCCCTGTGCCAGCAGGACTGAAGACCGACAGGTCGCAGGTTCGAATCCGGGGAGAGTGTGGATGAGCTCCCTCTATCAGCTCCAGTTCCCCATTGCGGGGACATGAGAGAAGCCTCCCACAAGAATGGTAAAATATCAAAACATCCGGGCGTCCCCTGGGCAACTTCCTTGCAGACAGTCAATTCTCTCACACCAGAAGCGACTCGCAAAACAAACAAACTAACAAACAAACAAACAAACAAAAAAACCCCAAAAATTGGGTGAGTAAAAAGAAACATCACATACAAAAACACAGTGCAACTGGGGCTGAGTAAATCATAGAATCATAGAGTTGGAAGAGACCTCATGGGCCATCAAGTCCAACCCCCTACCGAGAAGCAGGAAAATCGCATTCAAAACACCCCCGACAGATGGCCATCCAGCCTCTGTTTAAAAGCTTCCAAAGAAGGAGCCTCCTCCACACTCCGGGGCAGTGAGTTCCACTGCTGAACGGATCTCACTGTCAGGAAGTTCTTAATGTTCAGATGGAATCTCCTGGAATCTCCTGGAATCTCCTTTCTTGAAGTTTGAAGCCATTGTTCCGCATCTGTCAGCTCCTGCCAGATCTTAGAACAAAGCCACGCTCACAAGGCAAATTTCTTGAATACGGGTTTATTCAGTCTTCACAGGAATCAGAGAAAGAGAGATCTGAGGGGTTCCCGCCAATACTCAGCAATACATCCCCCTTGGTTCCTCCCCCCTTCTTCCCCCCTTATCTCAAGTTGTGGCTACATTCCATTCCCACATCTACAAAGCATTCTCTTCTGCCAGATGGCCCCCTATAACACCATAAAACACAATCATGTCAGGAGGGAGACTTCGAGGCCCGGCCGTGTTTTCTTAACTTGAAGGCCACATCCTGACAGCATCCTAGTCTCCAGGGCAGCTGAAAACAGCTTGCTCCTTCTTCCCTATTACTTCCTCTCATGTCTATCATGTCTACTCTCAGCCTTCTCTTCTTCAGGCTAAACATGCCCAGCTCTTTAAGCTGCTCCTCATAGGGCTTGTCCTCCAGATCCTTGATCATTTTAGTCGCCCTCCTCTGGACACATTCCAGCTTGTCAATATCTCTCTTCAATTGTGGTGCCCAGAATTGGACACATTGCTGCCCTGCTGATGTCCTCAAGAGGCATTCCTTGTAGAAAAGCCTGCAAGGCAGCAATAGTCCTGGCAGAATGCGCCTTGATCTGGGGCAGCAGGGGTTTGCCAGAAAGCTGATAAGCAAGCTGGATGGTGGATATGGTCCAGGAAGAAAACCTCTGGGAAGAAACTGGAATACCAAGGGCATCTTGGTGATATTTCAGAAAAAGTCTAGACAATCTATGTAAAAAGCCAGAGCCTGCCTGACATCAAGCATAAATAGGGAAAGTTTTTGAGGGGAAACTGGGTTCTAGAGAAATGCGGGTAAAACTATGTCCTGGCACATGTAAAATTGGGTCAAACTTTTGGCAACAATGCAGAAGATCACCTTGTCTCTATGAAAACAAATATAAAGGTTATCCACCCTGAGAGCACAGAGCTTACTAGACTGCCTTGCTGATGTAATGGCAACAAGAACACTCTTTTCCATGATAGGTAGGTGAGATCTGTTGATGCCAGAGGTTTAAATTGGGGGGGGGGGGGGGCTTTGACAACTGGGAAGGCACAAGTTCCAGGCTCTACCCTGGGGGAGGAGGACAGACTGGTGAGTGAATGCTCTTGTACTCTTTAAGAAAGAGTTTAATGAGGGGGTCCTGAAAACAGGAGGAACATCCTGCTTTCTGTTGGTACCAAGAAATGGCGGCCAGATAACATTTCAGGGAAGACAGGGAAAGACCCTGCTTAGCAACTGACCCAAGGAAATAATGAAGTATGGGAGTAGGGTTGGCCAGAGGGAGCACTGTTGGTGCCAGTGTTTGCTGCTGACTTGAAAATATAGGGTCCTTCACAGGGGGTGCTGGTTGAGAAGCTGGTAAAGAGAGAAAGAACCTTTCCCACTTATAAGCATATGACCACTTCGTTGTAGGCTTATGGGTGGCAGCAATGATGCCTTCTATTGACTGGAAAATAATGCTTTGAGTCGTGACCTCCATGCCATGAGACCCAAGGTGAGGATGTCTGGGTGAGACACCTGACTGGTCTGGCATATTAGAAGATCATATCTACAGTAGAAGTGGTGAAAGTCACCCCTAGAGGCTTGTATCAGTGGGGTGAACCATGGTTGCCTGGGCCAACAGGATGTGAGGATAATAGAATCATAGAATCAAAGAGTTGGAAGAGACCTCATGGGCCATCCAGTTCAACCCCCTGCCAAGAAGCAGGAATATTGCATTCTGCCTCTGTTTAAAAGCTTCCAAAGAAGGAGCCTCCACCACACTCCGGGGCAGAGAGTTCCATTGCTGAACGTCTCTCAAAGTCAGGAAGTTCTTCCTCATGATCAGATGGAATCTCCTTTCTTGTAGTTTGAAGCCATTGTTCCGCATACTAGTCTCCAGGGCAGCAGAAAACAAGCTTGCTCCCTCCTCCCTGTGGCTTCCTCTCACATATTTATACATGGCGATCATATCTCCTCTCAGTCTTCTCTTCTTCAGGCTAAACATGTCCAGCTCCTTAAGCCGCTCCTCATAGGGCTTGTTCTCCAGACCCTTGATCATTTTAGTCACCCTCCTCTGGACACATTCCAGCTTGTCAATATCTCTCTTCAATTGTGGTGCTCAGAATTGGACACAATATTCCAGGTGTGGTCTAACCAAAGCGGAATAGAGGGGTAGCATGACTTCTCTAGATCTAGACACTATGCTCCTATTGATGCAGGCCAAAATCCCATTGACTTTTTTTGCCGCCACATCACATTGTTGGCTCATGTTTAACTTGTTTTCCACAAGGACTCCCAAGATCTTTTTCACACGTACTGTTCTTGAGCCAGGCATTGTCCCCCATTCTGTATCTTTGCATTTGGTTTTTTCTGCCTAAGTGGAGTATCTTGCATTTGTCACTGTTGAACTTCATCTTGGGTGAGTACCGTCTGGGTTCGTCTGCTTAACCAATTACAGATCCACCTAACCGTAGTTTTTGCCTAGCCCACATTGGAGTAATTTGTTTGCCAGAAGTTCATGGGGGACCTTGTTGAAGGCCTTATTGAAATCCAGGGACGCTACATCCACGGCATTCCCCGCATCTACCCAGCTTGTAACTCTATCGAAAAAAGAGATCAGATTAGTCTGGCATGACTTGTTTTTGATAAATCCATGTTGACTATTAGCGATGACCGCATTTGTTTCTAAGTGTTTGCAGACCACTTCCTTAACAATCTTTTCCAGAATCTTGCCTGGTATCGACGTGAGGTTGACCGGACGGTAATTGTTTGGGTCATCCTTTTTTCCTTTCTTGAAGATTGAGACCACATTGGCCCGCCTCCAATCTGCTGGAACTTCTCCCGTTCTCCAAGAACTCTCAAAGACGGTTCGGAAATGACTTTTGCTAGTTCTTTATGGTTATGGTCCGGAAATGACTTATGCTAGTTCTTTCAATACTCTTGGGTGTAGTTGATCTGGCCCTGGAGACTTGAACTCATTTAGAGCGACCAGGTATTTCTGGATTACTTGTTTCCCAATTTGGGGTTGGATGTCCTCTAATCCCTCACCCATTCTATCTTGCTGAGGTTGAAGATGACTTTCTTTTTGTGAGAAGACCGAGGCAAAGAAGGCATTAATTAGTTCTGCCTTTTCCCTATCCCCTGTCAGCATTGCGCCATCTTCTCCTCGTACAGGCCCTATCACCTCCTTGTTTTTCCTTTTTCTACTGACATAAGAAAAGAAGCCCTTTTTATTGTTTTTAATGCCCCTGGCA